AACGAACAATTACACTAACACAAAACCGCAAAATTCAGGTAGTAATATTCGAATCCGTGTTAGTAACAACATCGTCGTATGACTGTGGATAACTCCTTAGAACACTCTTGAAGCAGGAAATAATCGTTTTCTGAAGAGCTTGTCCATGTCATGAATGACTCGGCAAGTGAAAAAGTTTCTTCAAACCTTGAGCCTTGGTCTGGAAATGATAGTTTGCTACATCCGCCTCTTGTGTTGGATCTCCTCGTGTGGAAAAGGAATTGAAGTTTAGACCGCAATTTTCATATGCGATTTTATGTGCCATTAGAAGATCAAATTTAGAAAGTTCCAATCTGCGGTTATGAGTTTTACTAGTCTGTCGCGTATGAGATCATATCTGTAGCCAGTTGCCCAAAAAAAGTTTGCGCGTAAAATTGTTTTGTATCTTCTCCATCTAATCAATTGTTTTGCACAAATAAGGATGAAAGATAATGGTTCCATACTCCATCATGGGCTCAGGAATGATTTATATGCTATCAGAAGAATAGTCACTTGCTTGACTGAAAAGGCTCTGAACAGAATGTGCACCAATCTCATTGCTTCATCCGATATCAATTCACAATGATCATCAAAAGTGAGGTCACTTCTGACCTGAAAGTCCAAATCTCTTACTGAATCCACTTCTTGAAGATAGATTCCCCCAAGCAATTACTTAATTTAAGATTGGAATTTTTGAGTCCACTATGAATTACTTTGATTTTTTCCTCGATGGGTAGGGACCACGACCATCTATGAACCTCGTTCTAGGCTCTTTGCAACTGCCCATGATCAAACTCATCCTTCACCTCCTGGTATGTTTGAAATTATCCGCAAAAGTGATGCAGGAGACTTCATGGAACATGGAAATACTAGGATGCTCGATTATGAATATTAAACAACATTGGAGACAATACACCGCCCTTTGGTACACCGCTATACGTGTGTTTCTTGGCCTAGAAAAAGTATTATATATTTGTGTAATAAGCTCTTGGCGTTCCTTACAAGGGAACAAAAAAGACACAGTTATGCTTACTTTCCCAATGTTAGTGCTTCATGTATTAGGCTGTCCGGAAAATAATGTCGCATCGTGTTTTAGCATGCGATATAGTGGCAGGGCGAGCAGAAAGTAAGTAAATGGGGTACCAACCTATAGATCAAAGCAAGCACTACAAAATGAAGCTCGAACCTTCGCACCAGGTTTGATGTGCGTGAAGTTTGGAGCCAAACTTCATAAGGCACTAAAGATCTAAAAAATGAAAAAAATTGTATCTCCGTTCAGAAAAGTTCTCCGTTCGTTTCCTGGGAACCCCGAACTTGCTCACGTACGGATTCACTATACCAGACACTCGTACGCACATTTTCGTGGTTTTTCCTTGGCTGGAAACTGGGAAAACGAAATTCGGCATATTTTTGTTAAAGTCAAGCAATACTGAGCTTCTCTCAAATAGATGATTCTGTCGTACGAACCTTTGAAGTCTAACTATGAATTTTCAACTTTAGATGAAGTCTAGTTTTCGAGTAAAGCCAATTTGTTCGCAAAAAACGCAAAAAACGCGACATACTCGCACTTTTGACCTGATTTTTATTGCTGTACTGTAGCAATGGAATAATCACACAAACTTTACAGGTGAATGCCTAATATGGAGAGTGCATGCCTTTGCAGTTCGGAGTCCCTAAGACGTCTACCGACGGAGATATGATTTTTCGGGTGTCTGAAATTTTTTTATTATTTTGGATTCGAACTTCAGCTAGAGCAAGATTACCGCAGAGGTTTGTAAACATGATACCCCATTCGCTGTTTTTTGTGGTCACTCTGTCGCGATAGGATGCCTTGTGACATTAATTTTCCGGACAACCTAATATTAGGTTGGTCCGAAAGTTCTTGCGCATCATTTTCAAAAAATCATAACTTCCTTGCCACTCGATGGATTTCGTTAAATTTATATCCCTTCAAAAAAAGAATCCATTCTCTTTACACAAGTACCCCCATGAACTGGTATTCCGGAAGTATTTCTATTTGATAGAGAAGATTATGCTCATTACAATGGTACCTTTCTCATGAGCTAAAATGAAAATGATCGAGAGTTAGGAGCAAATAAAGTGAATTTCTTCAGTTTTGCAAATTTTGAGCATGCTCAAAAAAGCCTAGAAATGTCACAGAAAATGCGGAAAGCCATGAACATGGGTTTTGTGTACTTCTCTTTGTAGCTGAGTGAAAATCGTGCTAATCGAGAGCAATTTTGGTTTTCGTGAAAAATGCAGGCCCGAAAATCCGACAAAATCACGAAAGACAAAATCGAAGAAGGTTACAAAACCCATGTTCATGACTTTCTCGCCTTTTCTGTGACGTTTTTAGGCTTTTTTGAGCATGCTCAAAAATTGCAAAACTGAAGAAATTTTCTTTATTTGCTCCTAACTCTCGATCTTTTTCGTTTTAGCTCATGAAGAAGGTACCGTTGTAATGAGCATAATTTTCTCTATCAAATGAAAATACTTCCAGAATTTTTCGTGACTCAGCTCGAAAAATGCCAATCTTTGCTTGTAACTCTCGAAGTTTCTAATACCAGTTCAAAGCAAAGTACTTATGTAATAAGCATGAATTCCTTGTTCGAATAAATATAATTCTCTCAAAATCCATTGAGCGGCAAGGAGGTTACGATTTTTTGAAAATGATGCGCAAGAACTTTCGGACCAACCTAATATTTTGGATCCAATCTGGATAAAAGTATGATGAAAGTTTGTATTTGACTGCTTGAGGAAAATAAGCAAATTGATTAGACCTGAACTAACATGATGGCAAGATTTGGATTAGCAAGACATGTGGAAGAAATTAGTGTTGGAAAAAACAAATTGATAGTTGTATTTGGTATGCACTTTGTAGTCGATCAGGTAATGCACATGGCCAGCTTAATAGCAATAGAGATATCGAATTGGTGCTACCTGTAGAAATTTAATTCAGTCTCAGCGTCTCAGTTTATTTTTGGAAGAGATGCCGTCATTACAATGCTAATACTCCATTGGGTAGTTCATGCATCAGGTTTCTTACACGTTCAAAAAAATGTAGTTTGATAGCGTTGATTTCTTTCGCCTACCGTTTTGTTGATGGCAAATAGAAAAACAGCTAATCCTTCCATGAGTGGGTTTAAAGACCCAGTACTTGTTAATATGGTCTCCCTTCTGAAAATCCTAAAAGCAAGTACTAGGTCGTGGTATCACTCTGCGGTAAGGGAGACTTTTGATATTAAGCTTTATAGACGCTCTTCACAATTGAGAAGTGTTTTGGGATATGTTGGACTAACAAGGGAATGGTCAGAAATCGAAGTGGCCATTCCAAACAAGCTGCGTAGCGTTAGATGCAGCATGAAGCGCTGACTCCAAATCTATCTTCTTTATCTGCTTATCGCTCTTCTGGACGAAGTTATAAGCCATTGAAGACCATCATTTTGCTTAGAAATTATGCGTGAAATTGAAAATTTAGCCGTACAGAGCCTCGTTCACCTCAATGCTGGGCCAAAACATGCAGCTAGCTTACTTAAAATTTTTGAAGCCAGAAGCCGAGCTAAAAGTGCAACAATGTGCTCAATTTCGCTGTTTTTATGTATGATTTTTTTCACAATAAAACCGCTTGTAGCTTCGTCCACAGAAGCGGGGAGCAGATAAGGAAGACAGATTCGAAGTCAGCGTTTTATACTGCATCGGATGATATACAGCTTGTTTGGTTTGGCCACTTCGACTTCTGACCATTCCCTTGTAAGATAGCAACGGTAGAAAAGTAATCGTGTAAAAACCTTCTAGACGCTTTCCAGAGACTGTTTGTGCTTTACCAGCGAGGGTCTCCACACCTGATTCGCGTACTTTAGAATGGGAATAACAAAAGCTTGGTAAAGTTAGTATTTTAGGGTCATTGATTTTTGTATTCGATATATGAGGTAGGTAACGGAAATTACACAGGATGTAACGGCTTAAATCTGTAAGTCAGGTCTCAAAGATGGAATGAGGATTATTAATTCTTTGACAAATGCTTTCTCGTCTGGAGTTATGCCGGCATGTTTGTAATGGAAGTCATCATTTGTGCCAAAACCGATTTAAAAAATGAAACTTTTGCTGACATTCGCAGAAATATCCCAGACTTTGCATCATTCTACCACAAAATCAATGGCACGTTGCAATGCGTTTTTGACTGCTACGTGGTCCTCGTTATTATAAACTCCATAAATTTTTATTTCGTCTGCGTACATCAGTACGTGTACATCTGGGTGAATCTTCAGTATCTTCAAATCGGCCGTATGAATGTTGAGCAAGAGAGTGATGGCGCTTCTCCCTGCGGAAGCCCACTCGTGCATGGAAAGCGCTCAGAATGTTCGGGCCAACACGGACAATCATATATTTATATTGAAGATAGGGCTTAAACAGTTACATAGATCTTCTCTGATGCCATAGTGACTGAGTTTGTACAACAATTTTTCACGGCTGATGCGATCGAAAGCTTCAGATAAGTAAAAATATATCACTCGACTTTCTTCTTATCAAGAACAGCATTGATCCAGTCATGGCTACAATCCAGTGGTTGGGTAACTGTAGATGCATCACTACTGAACCCATGTTGTTCAGGTGGAATGAGTTTGAATTTATCGAAACAGTCAATGAGTTTGCCTCGCAACATTTTTTCAAGAACTTTGCATGGGATAGAGCTCATGTTTATGGGTTCGAATTCGGTTACGGAATGCGGATTGGTCACCGGAATGAGAGTAATAATCCCTTCCTTCCAAATTAGCACTTGTCTACGGATGAGACAAATGTTGAAAATATGAGGAAGTAGGATTGGAAGTTGTTTTGCGGTCTTGAAGAGAATCCGTGTGATTGAGGTTTACGCACGATATAAGTAGGACAATAATCGTCTAATACCAAAGCGGCTTAGTAATACTGGATGCCACGCGGGCTAACTCGTGTTGTAGCGTACCTCACCTCAAACTTAGGTAATTAAACCGGTTACTTGTGAAACAACAAAATAAACGCAACAAAAATAACATAATAAATGATATTAAAAAAAGTGATCCTGGCCGAAATAAATGGCAAAAATACGTGTTCATTTTCAGCGCTGACTCAAATTGCTGCGATACTTGTTATATTTTTAGCTACAAGTTACGCTAAGCAGGCAGATAGTACATAAAAGGCTCAAGGCAATACTACTGGACCTACGAGCATATAGTGATGCGAAATAATGAAGTCACCGGCACTTAGCCGGGCATCTATTTTGGCTCTCGACTCGCCAGTTAGATCCTCCTCTGAACGAATTCCAAAACCATCTGGCGCAGCTGGCATCTGAATCACTTGCTCTTGCAGTGATTTTGCTAAAATAAGTTTGCAAGGAAAGGAATACTGTAACAGGCAAACCGTAGCATAATCGTTTGCTTTTCTTGTCGTTGACGACACCGGGAGTCCATGGAAAGTTCGAATGTTGAGGGCTCTCAGTTCTCTAAGGAAGCGTCCGACAGTAGAAGCCATAATGTAGGAGCTGTACATGTATGGCGTAGGGGAGGTCCGATAGGTTCTGGAGCAAAACTATCAGTAGGAAATGTGTTTCAAAAAATTTGCCTAAGGCTTCTGCCTTGTTTTGATCAGTTAGGCAAAGTTGTACCTAACGTATCTTTTAAAGGCAGTGGATCGGCAAAATCCAACAACTCGGGATTTCAACGCGGTAGGTTCCTTATCGCCCAATTATGAAAACAGGGCAATCCCGGTTGCACAGCATGCTTTCCCTGCCGAGAAAATCGCTCTCAAACTTGTACGTGCAGGCCAATCTTACACGCATCTGGACGAGTTGGCAATTTCCTGCTTACCATTGGAGGCTGCCCGCCGCAACGCTGCAACCATTGGGTCCTGCCACGATTTAGCGTCATCGGCCTTGCTCCACTCGTCCAATATCAAAGGAAGGGCATTGAAAAACGCTCATTTTCGCCGTTTGCAAGCTTTCAAAAGTAGATTTTCCGGATCATCGTATTAAAAAACCCCAGGTAAGCACAAATTTGACCAGGTTAAGATTTGCCGAGCCACTGCCTTCAAGGCATTGTAGTTTTTGGTCAACATTTTGTGATTGGATATAAGAGAAGATCTTAAAGTACTTAGAGGAAGCCGTACGTCTTTCTAGTTTGCGAAAAATTTCTGAGATGGTATTTTATTATCGGAACAAACTTTCTTATACAAGGATCTATCACAGTTCGTGAAGTTACTCCCACAATGATCGGTCGCCTCATCGTGGCGTGGGGGTGACACTGGGTGTCGAACTGCGATGCACAGCCGAGTGTATACTCTGGCAGGGTCTCCCAAGCTGTGAAGGAGTTCGACGTTTCCGGTCTCAGCCGGATGCCTAGCTAAGAACCGGCCACGCCAGATCCCCCGCCGTCTGGCTTCTTCTGGTCGCTAGGCGGTTCTCCAAGCCCGGGGTCAGCGATCGCCCCGTGGAAATCAAGAGTTGGCCTAGTAAGTCTGCTCTTGTAGGGGAACAAATATTATTACTCAGACAGCAAGAAGATATAGAAAAAACCCTGTACATCGGTTCCCGCCTACGGCGCCGGGTGGTAGCAAGAACGATGTCAGGGTCCTTAGAGAGCGCCTTTTGGATCGGACAAAAACGACACGTTTGCCCGGAACACGCCATGGAAACTGCCTCATGCTCTGCACCTACAACGCCAGGACAGTCTCCACAAACGCCGACCTCCACGCTCTTCTCGACTCTGCAGAGCACATCAAGTACCACATCATCGCTCTGCAGGAAACGAAGTCCAGGAAGAAGGACGTGCGACAGATGAATGATGGGACGCTCATCATTCGTGGTGAGAAGGTTCCATCACGAAACGTGGGAGGCGTTGGCTTTGTCGTCCACCCATCTATCGTCCATCTTGTCGATTCGCACGAGATCCTATCACCCCGACTAGCCATCCTACGACTACGCCCTCCCCGTCAGAAGACCATCAGCATCATCAACTGCTACTCTCCAACATCAGCAACTGACGACTCAGAACTAGGTACTTTCTACGAAGACGTGAAGGAGGTCGTCCGCAACGAAAAGTCCTTCTACAAGTATGTTGTGGGCGACTTCAATGCAAAATCGGGATGCCACTAGAAAAGGATATAGAATCGGGAAGTTTGGATATGGGTTCCGGAACGAGAACGGCAATCTCGTTGGGCTTCTCTCCGCCGCACGACTTTTCCATGGAATTCCATCTTCATGAAGAAAGAACATCGCCGGTGGACATGGGAATCTCCCAACGGAACGACTCACGCGGAGATCGATCACATTCTTACCAACCGAAGGTGGAGCTTGCTCGATGTCTCAGTAGTTCCATCCTTCTGCAGTGGCTCCGATCACCGCCTCCTTTGAGCGAAGATACGACTCAGCCGAAGGCTGGAAAAGAAAGTCTGTCACAGTGCCGCGAGAAGGAAGGAAGTCGTTTATGACAGTTAAAGGCTGGAGGAGCTTATATCAAGATGTGACTAGCCCATCGAGAAGGACCCAACGTACGAGTACGACCGACTTTTGAAAGAATTGCGAGCTTGCGGAGAATGTGCCTCAGTGACTTCTGAGAAGAACTTGGAACGTATTTCGAAGACCATCAAGGATTTGCTCGAAAGAAGAAGATTTCTGAGGCAGGATCCGAATGCAACCCATCTCGAGCGACTGATAGCCAATTCCAGTTGCAGAACAGCTTTGCAGGAGGATCTCAGGAAGTACAGGCAAGCCAATATTCTGGAAGCAGCCGAAGGAAGTCGAAGTCTTAAGAATTGCCGAAGGGACCTCTGCGATTATCACGTACCGCTGGCTGCACTATCAAATGAAGACGGGACTCCGACTTCTTCCCGATACAAGATGGAATCTATTGCGAACAACTTCTATACCAACCTCTTCCGCTCGTCAACACCCGTGCTCGTTGTTCCCACTGGAGAAGTACCACCACAAATTCTACCTGCTGAAGTGCGCACAGCGATTCAGACCATGAAGACGTCCACGGCTCCAGGACCAGACCATCTTTCCGTCGAATTTCTGCGAGCTGAAGGACAACGTCTACACGAGATTCTCGCGTCGCACGTAACATCTTACCTTCAGAAGGAAAGGATTTCCAACCAGTGGAGAACATCAAGAACCGTCCTTCTTTTCAAGAAGGGTGAACGGGAAGATCTTCGGAACTACCGTCCAAAATGCCTGCTGAGTGCGCTGTACAAGCTTTTCACGAAGATTATCCTCGCACGCATATCTAGGACACTGGATGAAGCCCAACCCCAAGAACAAGCCGGATTTCGCAAAGGATTCAGCTGCATGGACCACATCCAGACGGTTTCGAGAGTCATAGAAGTCTGCCGGGAATACCGACTGCCTCTCGTCCTAACCTTCGTCGACTATGAGAAAGCCTTCGACAGCGTCGAAACGAATGCCATTCTGTCAGCAGTGGTCGATCAAGGAGTAGACCGAGCCTACGTGAGGACACTAGCTGACTGCTACAAGGACTGTACAACAACGATGCAGCTATTTCATCGCTCCCTGACCATTCAGATCGGGAAGGGGGCCCGACAAGGCGACACTATTTCGCCGAAGCTGTTCACCGCATTGCAGTGGGTGATGAAGTCACTGGACTGGGACGAAAGAGGCATACGAGTTGATGGGAGATTCCTGTCCAACCTTCGTTTTGCGGTCGACATCGTTTTCTTCTCGAGCAGTATCATTGAAGCAGAGACGATGCTGAAGGAATGAGCGAAGTAGGGAAGAAGGTCGGATTGCGAATAAAGAAGAAGATTCAGTTCATGAAGAACGCCCTTTGCGAAGATGCAGAAATAGAACTGGAAGGCACCCCTATTATGAAGACGTCTTCTTATGTGTAATTCGGCTTTCGATGAACATGGGGAACGACGACTTGAGGGAAGAACTGAACAGGAGAAGAAGAGCAGCCTAGGCCGCGTTTGAGCCTTTGAAAGAAGCCACCGTCCAGCTGACGGACTTTTTGTACCCACCTGTTCGACTCAACCGTTCTCCCGGCGCTCTGTTACGCAGCTGAGACTTGGGCTGACACCATAGCCACTTCCCAAGCCCTAAGGAACACCCACAGAGCGCTAGGGCGTAGTCTTCTGAAGATGAGCCGAAACAAACAACATCTTGTCGGACTCCGCAGTACGGATATGAGGAGAATGTCCCGTCTTCGTGACCCAGCGGATTACGTTGCGAAAGCGAAACATCGATGGGCCGGTCACATTACGAGAAGAACAGACGACAGATGGACACTAAGAACATCGGAGTGGGTTCCTCGCGAAGCAAAACGTCCCCGAGGAAGACAAGACCTCCAACGAGATGGGCAGACGTGTTCGTGGAACGGATGGACCAGCTGAGAAATCAGGGTTCCTTCATACTACGCCGCGTAAGCCACGTACGCCGCGCACGCAGCGTACGCCGCTGCAGCGCAATGGAAATATGCTCACGGCAGCAGAGTTCCACTTTTTTTTGATTTATCTCTATTTTTGCTGCACATTCGTGTCCCTCAATAGTATATCTCTCCTTCACATTATGCATTTCTTCTTCTCTTTTGCTTTGTTTATGCTGTCTCTTTTTTTCTCTATATCAATGATTGATGAAATGACTTAGGTTGTTGTGCTCCCTCTACTTTTGAGTTTCACATTTTGTATCGTAACTGACTGCACATTGCGTCATCGGTTGTGTATTGGTAGTATATGGTTGTATGGTTGTATGTTGTATCTGGTTGTATATTTGCGCTGTTAACATCTCCTTACAAACACACCACTGGGTGAAAAGGATTCCTCTTCTTCATATTTCCATATTTCCATTCCGCTGCACGGCGTACGCTGCGTGCGCGGCGTACGCGGCGTAGGTAGCGTACGCGGCGTAGGTGGCGTGCGCGGCGCAGTATGAAGGAACCCTCAGCTGGATACGATTTTTGCACCTGGAACTCGTGGACGCAGCCACCGACGTCAGCCAAGAAGATCGTGGATGTCTGAAGCGAGGGACAGGGAGAAATGAAAACTTCTGAGCTGGGGCCCGCACGTCACGTGAAGCCGGGCCATCTAAGTATCTAAGTAAGTAAGTAAGTAAGAAGTTATGAGTCTCAAATGGAGTGTACGCTGCCATAAGTTTGTACAAAATATTGCAGAATCTGTAGTACACACCGGAAGGAATTACCCTTTCACGCGTATAAGATGCACCTTTTTCGGTTTTTTAAGCGTGCCGCTCAGCCCTTGTATTGAGGAAAACGAGACATATGGTGCACGATACTCTCAGGCAATATGCAGCACTGTAGTAGTTTTTTGGTCGCAGAGTCCTTCGGCGTATCTGTGCTGTTTGATTTTAGAAAAAATCTGCGCGTCCTATATACGTAAAATTAGGGTAGACACTGATTAAAGCAATTCTCCCAATCGATGTTGTTTAACTCTATTTTCATTGCTTTAAAATCAATCTTAAAAAACTGAGGATGTGGAATGAATGTGCTTTATGTGATGTTGGATTTGTAGCGAAACATAATTACATTATGACCAGTGGCCGTATTCATCATTGA